CTCCAGAATAGGCTGGAGCTTTTGCGGGCAGGGCGCAACGCGCCCGTCGTCGATCACGAAACCCAGTAAGGAGATACGGGTCTCAGCGATTTGGGCTTTGTTGGGGTTCAAAGTGATCCCCGCAGCCCGCAGCTTCTCGAGAACATCCTTCAAGTGACGTAAGTGGTCCTCGAAGGTGTCGGAGTACACGACGATGTCGTCTAGGTAAGCCATTGCATGCGACCATCTGGCATTGCCTAAGACATTGTCCATTAGCCGTTGGAATGTCATTGGAGCTCCGGCTAGGCCAAAGGGCATCCGAGTAAACTCGAAAAGCCCACGGTGACAAACAAATGCGGTCTTTTCTTCGTCACCGGGCTCCATCCGAACCTGCAGGTACCCTCTGCTGGCGTCGAGCGTAGTGAAATATCTAGCTCCGCCCAGGTTGGATATGATCGAGTCAATGCTTTGGAACGGATAAGCGTCCTTGCAAGTGACCTCATTCAGCTTGCGGTAGTCCACGCACAGGCGCGAGCTGCCGTCCTTTTTCGGAACGAGAACGACGGGGAACCCCCATGGGCTCTCCGACGACCGGACAACGCCGGTGTCAATCATCTCGACCAAGGCAGCGTCAATGGCCTTTCGTTTGGCCAAACTCACGGGACGGGGATGGCACTTCCAAGCAGGGGCCTCTCCCGTGTCAATCCGATGCCGCACCGAATCGGCGCAGCCCGGACGATCCGTGAACATCGAGTCGTAAGAGTACAACAACGACGCAAGACGAGCCTTGTCGCGCCTCCCCAGACCGCAAGAACCAGCAATTAGCGGGTGGGTGGCGACTCGGGACGCCGCGGCGGCGCTCGCTCCCAAAAGAGGGGGGCGCGCGACCGCAGGGTCCACAACCGGTTTCCGGGAAACAGCGTCTCCCGCGTGGCCGCGGTTGTTGCGGCTGCTCAACGGGAAAGAGGCCGGAGCGGCGGCGGGGGGTTCGGCGAACGGCTTGACTGAGCCGAAAGCGCCTTCACGATAGCCAGCGTTGCCGAGATCAATGACTATGCCAGTCTGAGCCAAGAAGTCTCGACCCAAAATTACCGGCACAGAAAGACCAGGGAGGTGCACAAAGCGATGTCGCCTCACCCGATTGTCCCAGCGTACAACCAGCCGCACGGAGCCGCTCGAAAGAGCAGTGCCCCCCGCTGCGAGCTGAAATGCCGTGTTACACTCTCTCAATCGGACAGAATGGGTCCGGAGGTGCGCCAACACGTCCTCACCGAACGACGAAGCACTGGCTCCGGAGTCCAGGAGAGCCTTAAACGTTCGGCCAGCGATCGTCAAGGCCAGGAACGGGGCGGGCGCACCGGACAAACCATCGGCCCGGTACGCCGACGGCGCTAGAGCAAAACCAGGTGCTCCAGCCTTCCGTCGAGCCGCCGGCCTCGTTAGCGGCGGCTTGGCCCGTTTCCCGATGCCTGTGGATTCGTGCAGTTTCGCGCCAAGTGACCAATGCGGTCACAGCGATAGCATCGAATTTCGGGAGCCAAAGGGTTCCGTCCGGCAGGTCTCGGGGAATTCCTCCTCTCGTTCGGAGCGAAAGGCTCGTTTCGAGGTCGCCTCTCCTCGCGTCTAGGACCCACAACGCGGTCCTGACTGTGCGGGCCCGACTGCGATTTGGCAGCGGATCTTCGCAACCCGTAGGAGTATGGATCAAGCGCCCGATCAGAAATCTCTCGTGCGTCTCGACCCTGGGCGTTGGCATATGCCGTGGAGGCCTCGGCCCGGCGGGAATGGGGAGCGACAGGGTCGCCATTCCACGCGCACCGCGGCTCAAGAGATGCCGTGGGTGGGGGTGGGGGCCGGTAGGCTCGAGCCGCAAGAATGTCACCTTGAATGCGGCGAGCCTCGAGTGCCAGGTCATCGAGTGAATGGAAACGGCTGCCTCGAAGGTAGGCGGAGAAAGTCGGGTGCGCCTGCCGAATGACACGCTCAACCCGTTCCGCATTAGGGGCCGAGGGGTCAGCGAGAAGGAACAGCTCCTGCATCGCCCTCACGTACTCCAGCAACGATTCGTCTGGGTGCTGTGTACGCCGCTCCAACTCCCGTCTCATCCGCCTTTCGCAGTCAGCGGGGAGAAATTCCTGGCGAAACAGGGCCCGGAATTGATCGAGAGTCAGCGCGTTTTGTCCGCAAAGGCGGAACCACCGCGCAGCTTGGTCAGTCAGTGCGACAGGCAGGACTCGGCCAAGAACCTCTTGATCGACCATTCCCGTGGCCTGCTGGTAATGGAGCAGGTCCTCGAGAAAGTCGTTCGCGCTTATGGAGTCTCCGTAACCCTTGTACTTGGGAATTGGGACTCGCACAGGTGGTCGCAGTGCCCTGGGTGCCTGCAGTACTGACTGCATTGCACCGGTCAAGCTTTCAATGACTCGCGCCGCTTCTTGTAGCAGCACATCATGAGAGCTCCCAGCACCAGCCCCAAAGGGAGCGGCGCTAGACACCGGCGGAGCCCGGGGGCCATCTCCAAACAGAGAAGCCTCCAGGCCGCTAACGGGCGACGCGCCAGCTCGGAAGGGAGCGGGGTCGCACGGAGCCGGTGGACGGACATTGTCGGCGGGCAACTCAATCAAGTCGCCGGAAGCATTGACTCCAATCGGGGTCGTGCTTTGCGCGGACCAGGGTGGGATATTGTCTCGCGGCAGAGGAACCGCTTCGTGGCCATCGGGCAGCGCGCCGTCCCGAAGGGGGGAGGCGCCGAACTGCACGGAACTCCGAGCGGCACCACAAAAGAGGGGCGCGCTCGGTCCAGCCGCCGGGTTGCCTCCCATCGGGAAGCGACCGGGCGGTTGCCGAACCTGATAACCGTCTCGGACAGGAGAAGTCGTCATGTGGCTGCCCGGCAGGGCGTCAGCTTGAACAGTAGCTACACCCAAATGCCGGTGATCTGCGCCGCCTCCGGAGGGAGTGGCATCGAGGGAGCCCACAACGCTGGCTCTAATAGGAGCGGCGTAGGGCTCTGGCCGCAACAGAGAGCCGTCTCGGAAAGGAGAAGCTCTCGTGGGCCCATCAACCGAGGCGTTTCCTCCAATCAGAGGTGCACCTGGCTGGCTCGGCGACAACACACGGCTTGCATAAGAGGCTGCCGGGTCACCGATGGGTACGAGGGGATCAGAAGTGAGCCCTCTCGTAGCCACTTCTGCCAACGTGATCAGCGACCGAAAATTGGGCTGACCTGTCGACATGGCGTGAAAGGGCAGACAACAGTGCTAGCCAAACGTTCAACGAATGCCACGACCGCGATAAAGGAAGTCGTGGCCCCACGTTGGGCGCCAGAATATGTGGGATGGTCACAGGTGGTGGTAACCGAAGGGTTCAGCGGCGGTCTCTAAGCGGGAGACGCCAAGCCTACTCCCACACCCCGCAGCTTTCTCTCGAGAACACCGCTACGGGCGGGTCCGAACGTCGGCCGCACAACTGATCGCTTCTCTAAAAAGGAGGAGCACGTACCACAATAGGACTGGGTCCAACGGTGTTTATTGGAACACCAAAAGACACACTGTCCCCCAAAACCCCCGCGCCGACAAGGTCAGATGAAAGGCTCACCCTGTCGACACCGTCCCGAGAGCGCAGTCCGGAGCGGGCAAAGGAAGTCCTTCGCGACACGTCCGATCTCTATCGCATCCGCGGGAGGAGTCCCCCAAGTTCCCGATGTCGGGAACGTGCGTCGACCTCCTCCCCCCGCAAGCGTCGTCCTCACCCAAAACAACCAGGTCCCGGATGAGCAGGGGGACGGAAAAAGGTCCCCCCGGGAGAGAGTGAGGAGGAGAGCCCCCCAAGCCAGGCAGCTCTCCTACGCTTCACGAACAGGTTCGAACTCACGGCAACCAGGCCGTGCGTCCCGAACCACGGCCGTTATACCGGCCATCGGGGAAGGGCGACCAACGGTCCCCACAACTTCGTCTCACCTTAGTATGGACTATTGTTAGCCACGCGTGCTAAAAGCGCGAGCTAGTCGCTTTGAATGAAGCCGCGGCGGCTGCACGAGCGCTCGTGCAGCAAGTGCTCTAGTCAAGGCAGTCAAGGCTTGCCGCTCGCGCTAGCACAGTCTTCGCGGTTAGTCCATGCTAGGGTGAGACGAAGTATACACAACAGAGTGACCAAGCCCCAAAGAATGGACAAGTGCGTCCAAGTGTAACGATCCAAAAGCATCCACCATCCTGCTAGATACAGAGACTGAATTTTGCAAGGCATTTTCTTGTCGGTTGTTATTTTGTTTTGTTGTTTATGTAATATGTTATGTAATTACTAGCGCCTCCTATCAGCTTTAACATAACAGAATAAAGGCCAAGTTTACAGAGCAGTGTCATTTGGATCTTCCCGCTCAAGAAACATGTCTCGTGTCTCTGCGACATCGACCCAACAACAATTATAGCATTTAGAACCGGAAGGAACATTTTCTTGACAAATGACAACGAAAGGTTCTTCGACAACACTGCAGCCAGCTGGGTCTGGTAGGGAGAGCAGTCCTTTCAAGATGAACCGAAGAGCCAAAGCACTTCAATTCATAAAAAAAAAGTGGTAGTGTGCGTCTTATTCTTTTTAATTCTTTTCCTTAATTCTTTGCAAAATTATTCCAGAGCTGGCTTTAGCTCTGTATGTGTGCGTCTACTTGTCCTTTGTCCGTCTTCGTGCTGTTTTTAATTCCACATTGCAGAACCAACTCGCCCAAGTTTCAAAGATACAATAGCTCAAAGACAATCATTGAATCATAAACAAAAAAAAAAGCGTCATGATTAAAGAAGTTTTTGAAATTTGCAGGCTAGACGGTGCAAGCAACCACTTGTCGCAAAGAGCACCACCCATCCATTCATGAAACAAGCACTATCACTGACGTGTTGCAAATTACATCTCAAAGGTTTCATTACATATCAATGGGGAGGGCTACTTGGCTGTTGGCCTACAGGAATAATACACGGAGTAATATTTTGAGAGAAGAATAAGTAAATACCAAATTTAGCGAGACCTACTTTCAATGAGAAAATCCTTGTCCCACGCCGACAAGGTGTCCACGATGACGTTGAATCCGGTCCCTCTAACAAGCGTGGACGTCCCATTGGCAACCATGGTGCGACCATCGTTGCTCATCAGCGAGTAGCCCTCCTTGATGACGTGAACGTCATAGTCCATCTTCTGCAAGCAACGATTGAACCGAATTACCGCTATGCAAAGCGCAAGTTTGTCTGCATCTTCTGCAGGGGTTGTGGTGATGTCAAAACGCCGAGCTCCGATTGATGGATAGTGAGTAGACCTCAAGGCAGTGCTGGGAAGTACTTTAAGTACATTGTACTTAAAAGTAGTACTTCAAGTAGATTTAGAAAACTTGTACTTTACTTGAAGTACATTCTCTGAGTATGTACTTGTACTTTAAAGTATTTTTTTCTGGTACTTTCCGAAAAATGTATAACTCCCGACTTCAAAGTACATTTCCCAAATTTAGTCGTTAAATTTATATCACAAAATTTTGCTTTGTCAAGTTTTCAGAAATACTGGAAGGGCGAATATAAGAGTTAACCAACCCTTAACAAAAAAATGCCGTATCGTTACCATGATCCTTACCGAGACGCTGTTTACGTGCCATGTAATGAGTTTCTAGTAGTGGCATGTAAACAAAATAATGCCCACGTTGCCTTAATTGACAAAATACATGGGAAATGGAATCCCAGTGTAGTTCCGGGGGGGGGGGGAGCACCCTTTTTCCCTTTCGGAGAACTTCTCAGCCTGCTCCCCTGGAAAAATGGAAAGTCTACGTTGCTGCATCATCTGGTCATTTTTATGAGTGAAGTAATAGCAGCTATACGACCGATACAAATAGGTGCCTCATAAGTTGGTTGTGTTAAATCAGGGGTCTCCAAACATTTCGGCTAAGGGGATGTTTCGGCTAAGGGGCCGGATTGGGGATCTGTTGCAGTCTTGGGGGCCGGAAAATAAACAAGTAAATACTAACTACATAAACATGAATAGGCCAGAGTCGTATATTAGGAGAGTTTGGCCAGTGGGTGGGGCGACGAAGGCGCCGGAGAGGAGAAAAGTAAATGAAAGGGAGGAGAGCGCCGAAGGAGCGAGAAAGAAAGAAGGGAGCAGAGAGGAGACGACCGCCATTTTTGAGCAACACTGTCGGAGAAGAGCACTGGTGAGGCTATGCGTCGTCTGCTACGGGCCGACTTCTCTTTCGCCTGAATAAAAGTTTGTGGCCATACGCCGAAAAATCTTCATTTATTAGCTTTTTAACCCACCGAGGAATAACAGAATGTCATTTTCTTGCCAGAGCCAGCGATATAAAAGGCAATAATCGAGATTTAGATGCCAATCTCACGCATTCCTCCGGGAGAATGATCGAAGATGGCGGCCCTCCCCACTCAGGTGGGAGCAGCCGGAAGTTCATGCGAATGCGCTCATGCCTCTCGCTCTACGCCACGTGCTGATTGGCTCACTTGGGAGATGCGTTACGGTGGCGAGATCATAGACTGACCAAACTCTCTCCATATACGGCTCTGGAATAGGCATCTAAATACAGAAACGTATAGTGGAATAAAGATACACAAAATGCAAGGGTCGGATCAGTATATAAACTTTATAGTACATTTTGCTCCGTGTATCTGCTACTTTACTTGAAGTACATACCGTAAAATACCAAGCAAGTGCCCACTCAAACTTTGGAGATAATCGCGAAAAAATGGGGATGGGCACTTGTCCGGTCATCAATTTTACATATAAATGTATTGAGCATATTTTCTCGGATCTTACGAATTTGGAAATGGGCACTTAGTTAGAATGAGCGGATGCATGGCATTCTACAGTAAACTCTTGTTTACTTTGTACATTACTTCAAGTACTTTTCCAATGTACTTTATCCAACACTTCCTCAAGGCAGCTTCCTTTGAGGTCTTCTATCCACTATCCTACAGTCATAGCCAATCAGAACTCGGTGTCGTTCCGACATCACCGCAACCCCTGTGCAAGAAGCAGACGACTTGCTCTTTATGTTGTCACCTCACTGAAGAACATCATGTACCCAAGGAATTTCAGTACAAGGGAAAGATTCCCGAAAGAACAAACATCCAAAACAAAGCAGAAGGTGAGCATGCTGGTTGCAATTAAGGCGGCACCGGAAGTATTAACACAAGGAGGGACAAGAAGACACTTCTTACGTTATGCCATTTTGTTCGTTCTTGCGTTTATACTTTAACGTCTAAATACAAAACAAATAGAAGAAAACAAATGCCATTTTGTCCGTTCTAGCGTTTATACTTTAACGTCTAAATACAAAACAAAAGAAGTTTCAATATGCACAGAAGGTTACAGGCCATGGTCATTCCTCTGCCTCAGTTCCATTGGGTTTGTTCCCATCTATAATATACTGATTTTGAGAGTTGTTTGAATAAGCATTGTCATTGACTTTATGTATTAAAGTTATTGATTTGGGTATGCATTCAAGAACAATGTGTGCAGAACAGCCTATTGAGGAGTTGGGCTTGTGCCTGAAGCAACAAACTCTGAGGAGATTAACCCATTACAAATATGAATGCACAATTATTTCACTAACAATAGTAATAAACTAATGAACTATAGCAAGGTACAGCGTGATGGTGGGATACAGCAACAAACTACGTAATAAAGAGAACGTCCAGAAGAAACCTGGGAGAGATATCAACATTTTGCAACTTCGACGACACATCGCTAAACGTGCAATCGACGCAACATAAAAACTGATATAAGTGCATCAAATCTCACGGGCTGCCTTTCCCAGACAGAAGCGAAGAAATCAACGATGGGTGATCTTCCACAACTGCCAACGTTGGAGCTCAACACATCTCTTGCATCTCTGCCGATAGCCGTGGTAGCCGTGGCGACGCTCCCGGAATCGGCCTGATGTTTATGGAGAGCGCTTCGCATCTCATTCGATGCTTCCTGTTTGATCATTCCAAGAGGAGAAAAACAACCACCACCGCCGTCGTTCGTACACATACACCAACGCTCGAGGTACAGGAAGAGCAAATGTGCAATCAACTGTTACCGCATTCGAACTTTCAAAATCGGTCATGAGTCATGCGATGGCGCCGAATTCGACAATTTTCGGCATCAGCTGCTTCACTGATCTCCAGAGCTGCTTCGTCAGGAGATTGGTTCATCCGCGCGATCCGCGCAGAGGAGTAGAAACAAGAGAAAACCTGACAATATTTCGAACGTTTCACACGGTGAACCACTACTTTGTTTTCCTTGTTCAAACCACTTTATCGCTAATAAAGGATTTATTAATTGAACTAAGAGCTTAATTAGTCAGATTACTAAAGTTCTTTGAGGCAAGTGATGATGAACTCACCGCAATTTTTGTTGCTGGGGGGCGATGCTCGCGAAGTTATCGAGAACAAAAGCGGATGAGGTGGGAGCGTACGTTTTCGCTCCTTGTTTCAGATTAATCGAAGGTATTGATGACCTGATCCTTGATTATTGGCTTACGCTGACCCCTCGACTCCTCTGTAAGTTGAATCAAGGTTCGGTGAGGTGAAAATTCACACAGACGAAACGAATGGAATGCTTATCTTACCGCCTCCGGGTGAACAGCTGTTCGCTAGGTTACAATTTACAAAGAAAAAAAGAAAAGATAATATCTATCATCATCATCAAGAATTTGTATGATTAAAAGTGAAACTCACATTTATATGCTGTTTTTATAGGTTTTTGTTTGTCAACCTTCTGAATATTTGATAGACAAACAAAAACTGATCTATTTCGGAAAAAATCGTCTCCGTGGTTTCGGGAATATTCCCCTGGGGGGCATTCCAGCTCGCCGTCCAAATCGCCATTTTTTTTGTGGCTGTTGCCGTTGCTTGAACTTTTTGTGTTTTAGGGACTGTGCGTGAATTAGTTTAAAATATGTGGTACGAGATACTGCCATCCATCGCGATCATCTCGGTCTGTATGTCATTGCCAAACTTTCTGAGCAAGTATTTGAACCTGGCCGTGGATGGAAAGGTAATGTATCTGCTCTTCGGAGCCATGACCTTCCGTTGCACCTTCGAAGTGAATTACAGCAACTTGCCTCTATTCCGGAGTAATCAATCAAATTACGTTGTTTCTGCTCATGCATTGTAATGCATAGGGGAATTATAATTTTGTATGATAGAAGACTGGAACTTATTCGTCGCCACACAGTGTATAGAAATTGTAATGTAGAACCGAACTCCTTCATCGTTAGGTTTTTTGGACATCAGGGGAGCGTACGATAATGTGAGGCAGGAAAAACTTTATTGTCAGCTGAAGGACTATAACTTAAATGCAAGATTGGTTAGGTCTATTCAGAAGGTGTACACAGACAGTAAGGTAGTTATAACATGGGAAGCAGAAACTATACAACCCGCAGTAATAAAAAGGGGGCTCAGGGAGGGCTGTCCACTGTCACCTCTGCTCTTCATGATATATCGCAGTGAAATGGAAAAGAAGTTGGAGCAGATCAACCTAGGTTTTGATGCGAGTTATATGGAAGGAGGGAGAACGGTAATATGGGTAATACCAGGACTGACGTACGCGGAAGACATAGTACTTATGGCAGGTAACCAGGATACGTTACAGGAACTAGCTGGAATATGTGGAGAGGAAGGGGACACCTTGGGCATGAGTTTTAGTAGTGACAAGTATAAAGTAAGGCTGAAAAGGGGGAACCCTTGAGGATGCAAGACATTGTAATAGACCATGGAGGGAAATACAAATATCTGGGAGTCTGTCGAGTTTGTCTCAGTGAGGGAAGGAAATGTCTAAAGGAACATGAGGAGAATATAATTAGAAAAGGGAAAAGAAATTCATCTATTATGAAGATCAAGGCACTATGGACCTATAATAGATATGTAGTGGTCAGAGGTATAGACGCTTTGCACACGCGCCAAATTACAGCCGCCATTGCTGACCTCTTGTCTTACCGAGATGCCGAGAAACTGAAACGGTCGTTGACGATCCTCTAAAAAGGCCGATGCTTTAGAAAAGGACACAGTTGAATCTAATATGGCAATAACCTGGCCTGCTATGGTAATGATGAAGTGAAATAAACGAAATAAGAGGAGGCAAAAACTGAAGGTCAGTTATGGCGGCGTCCATGCACAGCTGCTGCAAAGCGTCTATATGGAAAGGTGTGATGGTACCAGGACTGTCTTTTGGCAATGGGGTACTGTGCATAAAATCAGAGGTTCAATCAGGATTAGAAATTCGCCAAAGGAGCATAGGCAGTTTGGCACTGTGAGTACATGGAACGACACCAAATGAGGGAGTACATGGGGACATGAGCTGGTCGTCTTCTGAGAGCAGGGAGGCAATTAGTAAGTTGAAATTTGAACAAAAGTCGACCGGTATGGATGATATGCAATGGGCGCGGTAGGTATTCAAGTATTTATTCATAAAGTTTAAACATAAAATGGACATACCAAACCCGAAAACTTGCATTTAAATACATACCCACTAGTGATGGGGCTGAGCAGATTATTTCAGTGGAAAAGGGAATGAAAGAGGCAGAAAAAAAAAGTGTGACGTAAGAATTCAGGAAAAATCGGCTCTAACAATGTGCAAGACACAAACACGGGGCATAAGAAAAGGATATGTGTTTGACAATTCACTGGGAACTTCTTTACTGTTCGAGGCGAGAACAGGAGTTTTGAGGAGGGGGAAGTATGGGGATAAATTTCAGGAGACAGACACGTTATGTGTTTCTTGCCATAATGAGAGCGAGACACTACAGCACTTGGTATTGAAGTGCACGGGGCTTCGCCCTGCCCTGCCCTCCCTCAAGGGGTTACAGATTTGGTCAGGGCCCTGGGTTTCGCTGGTGACGGTGGAAGGATGGAAGAGAAAAGGATTACAGTCACAAAGAGGTGATTAGAAGATTAGTGGAAATTATGTAGGGAAAATTGAATGATGCACAACTAAAATGATGCACAACTAACTAGTGCAGCTGGGGAAAGGTGAGACAGAGGGAAAACTCCCTCCCGCGTGGTCCTGATTCAAAGTCTCAACCCTGTTCCCCAGTGGCTCCGGTGCTGGGGTAGCGCCGACAAGGTTTAACCAGAGGAAAATTGTCAACTTCCTCGCCAAATAAAAAAAAAGCAAACAATAACTTTTTTTTTTTTTTTTTAAAGGTAGTCCTGGTGATAAATCGCACTGCCTGGTGATAGTTAGGGGGAGTTACAAAGGGTATAGCCATTAACATTCATCCGTCCGTCAATATTTCTATCAGGTAACAAACGTGTGAAAATAGAAAAACGCTGGAGGCTTACAGGGTGAGTGCTAACGATTGGCTGCAACACTTGCTATGAATGATTCTCTCCTAGAGAGACGTTTAGCCGTTACAAATCCAGTTTAATTTGAGGTATGGAGAATTGTTTTGCTCGTGAAACAGCTGTAGATAATTTCTATCTGTTCCTATCACAGTCATTGTCGGAATTAAAATTGCGTGCTCCAGCGACTATTTGCTCTGTATTCAACTATTTTACTGTACTTCCAGGGTTATATTAAAAAGACTATAATATAAACCTCAACATCTTTTTTTTTTTTTTGCTGCAATTATAGTTACATTAAACCAAAAGCACTCTATAAATTATGTTTTAGGTGGTACAAACGTAATTTCGTCCATAGCGGAACAAGCTCGTCCCATAGAGCCTTCCATCTTTCCACTCTAGCAGAGCGAATGCTAGAGAAAAATAAATTGTTAATCATGGCAATAGAGAGCGTTGTGGGGGGGACTGGTCCTGCTCTTCTGAACCCACAACAGTCTACAGTTTATCTGGCATGAGCATTCTCTCTTCTTTGTTAACTGTACACTGTAGATGTGGAATTTCGAAACAGCCAGCATGTGGAAGTAGTGACAACCACCATTGCAGAATGATGTGTGCTTTGATGAAGCTGGGAAATTTGCGTAGCCTGAAATGCCATTCCTGGAGCTGCTTCATCGCTAAGGGTTTGTGATTTTCAATGTTTCAGCCTTACAGGCGAGATATGATTAAACCATGGAATCTGGACACACTGATGAGAGACGAAAGGTTAACAGGAAATCCTTACAAAACAGTTGTAAGTATGAAAGGCTTTGCTCGTACCCAGTGATGTCCCTACATCCTCCCTACGGGAGTGTACTTCCCCCCTTGTTTTTCCGAAGGCACCCCCTTAATTCGCAACAACTTCTATATTCTCAATGTGCCCCCCCCCCCCCCCCCCCCCCCCCCCTTAAAAATTTAGACACCCCCCTATTTTCAATTTCTGGGGAAACCCTTGCTTGAATCTTCTCTCTGGCTGTGCAAGGTGTTCAGCAATTTACATGCTTATGTTGTTCGACATAACCAAAAACTCGAGACGCAGACAAAAAGAGGTACAACATGACGTCTCAAATGCAGCTACTAAATTTTATTCACCGCACTTCGTTTATACAGTTACCTTCATCCTAGCACCGTCTCACCCATTTGCAGACGCTCCACATCGTCTGCTAAAGTTCAATCGGTCAACCTTCACTATCGGGTAACCTTTTCATCTCTGACTGGACCCTTCCGGGCCCTCACGAAAACCAAGATCATAGTGCACACCGTCAGTCAACGAAGCGCTAACTGCTTCCCCTTCTTGATTTACACCCGCAAAAATGTTGTTGCTGCATCGAGGGCCATTGAGGGCTGACTTGTACAGTTCCTTATTGAAGCTATCCTAATAGTTTGCTCCAACGCTCGTTTTACACAATTTCTTTGTTTGAGACATTGCATTTCTCCTCGCTTTTCTTCCTCCTTCTCGAGTTTTAGTATGTCGAGTAACAGCCAGCTTGCCCGCCTAGTAACACTGTCTTGCTTATGTTACTTTTGGCTAATGGTGTCTCTTATTGACTTAATTTTGAGTTTCCAAGGGCATAAACTGGCCGTCTATGTTGTGTCAGGGTTTTGCTTCGGCCTCAAGGACATGGGGTACTGGGTTAAAAATTCTGAGTGATGTCTTCCTCAAGAAATTTGCAGAGCATCACTCACAGCCATACTTACTTTTCGACATAGAGGCCCCAATGTTTTCTTTTCATCAGAAACTGCAGCTGAAACTCAGTCCCTCTTTACTTCATAGCCTGTAAGGTTGCCGCTTTTGTAACTTGTATGTGGAAGAGTGTAAAAGGTACAAAATCAGGGACGCTTACCATTCCACGCTGGATGTAAGAGTGCATCCAAGACAGCGGGTCACAATCTCACGCAACTGGTGACTTATGATTGTTTTTGTTGTTCAGTGCACCCACTCAGAAGTGTGAGATTTAGAAAGACGTTCATACACAGCATGAAACACCCTAATACTTAAATGCAAATTTGTAACTATATTTTTGTTGTGTGGGCACCTCGGGCAACAGGCATGACCAGGGTGTTGAGGCTCAGATTGGATACCTTCAATGATACACTTGAACATAACCAGGTGGGGCAGCGTAGGAAACATATTTTATTCTCAATTAACCATTCTCATTTGACCAATGAGTCCTTGGTCGCAGTTTTTCGAAGCTGCAATCACCTTACCCATTTTCCGCGCTTAAAAAAGTCAAAAAGGAAGAGCAAACAAAAAAACTTCGGATATGAGGTCATCCTGGCGATACCCCACACCGCCTGTTGATAGTTACAAAATTGGAGAGGGGACTCAAATTGGCTTAGAAGGGCAAAGGGAGGAGTCATTCTTTTGGTTTTTAGTTCCTGGGCTAGGTGACAAAAGCCACCACCCGATATAAAGGGTACAGCCATTAGCATCCATCCATCCATCCATGAAATGATCATAGTTTACTCAGTATACTACAAAGTTTCATGGTTTTATGAGCTCTTGTAATTACTAAAATAAATTCTACAATGATAATTTGCATCAGACAACCAAGAACCTTGACAGAATCCTGACACAACCTGCGTAGAGTTCTTGTGTTATAGTATTTATGAACCATGTGATTGTAATCATACAGTTGAACACTCTTCATATTAGGCTTATCCACACTTGTCACACTCGCATTCTATGTGACTGCTCTCGTTCGCTTGCCTCCTAGCCTGCTCCTTACATCTGGTCTGCCGTAACAATGTTACGATGACGTGAGTGATGCCGTAGAGTCCACCAGCGCGAAGCGAGGAGTCTGAAGTAGCCCAAGCGCTACGAGAGCCAAGTCTGCGCGCGCATGCACGAGATTGGTTGGAGACACTGAGCGATGTGTACATGACATATGGTGATAGAGATGAGGCAGACTACATCACCAACCTTTCAAACACGGCGGCCTTCCTGAATGGGTTGATTCGAGGGCCTACAATAAATTTTCAACCAAACAAAGTAAAAGGTTGGCCTAATAGTGGGCAGTCTATGGCCTGACAAATCACACCCCTAAAAGTCTAAGGAATGACTCTTACGATTGATCTCTGTAGATTGTAAACTCGTTACAGTGCCACAAATCTAGACATGGATATGGGTGTGGGTAACATCGGTGAGATCTGACGGACAAAGAAGAGTTCTTTTGCTATACATTAGTTGACATGACAGGAGTTTCTGGAATCGCCTCCCTGTTTGAAGCCAGTCGAATTTAATGACGACTCCACTCTTGAGAGGTTGGTCTCACAAAATGCAGTTTCATTTAGTGCCCCGGGAGGTTTGGTCATAGCCTCCTTTATTCTAGAAAGCCTGTCGGTTCCACGATGTAGCCGTTGAGCACCCGGCCGCCAAAACAAGACGAGGAGCTGCGCCGAACGGCCACCCATGTGGGATTGCAGAGCCACTTCTGAAATAACCCTTCAGCCAGCGCCAAAACTATGCGCGGTGGCTTCTCTGCGAAACAACAAACTGCAAAAAAAAAAAAAAAGAAAGAAAAAAAAAAGAAGGGTATCTGCACGTGGAGAAACTGGAGAAGGGTGGTATAGACCTTTTTTGCAAGGGCGCCGCCATCTTGAATTGTCGTCACTTCCAGTATGGGCGAAAACATTGTTTTGCCGTCGCCACGCCGATAGAGGGCATTTAGGACATAAACGTAACCGTCACACATTCATTTTACTATTTGCACGTTGAAACGTTTTGATATTTTTTCGTCGCCCATACCGGATATGTCTACCTGGCGGTCGGGGGCGAGAGTAAGCGGAAAAGGTCTATACACGTTTGCAAGTCCGGTCTCAGGGCGCCGCCATCTTCCTCAGTGGGGTGCGCTCTCGGGAGCGGCCATAATCCGATTACGACGCCTTAGCAAGGCTTCGTAATCGGATTATGACTGGTTCAAGCGCACCCCAGACAGGCAAGATGGCAGCGCCCTGAAGCCGGACTTGCAAACGTGTATACACGTTTGCAAGTCCGGTCTCAGGGCGCCGCCATCTTCCTCACTGGGGTGCGCTCTCGGGAGCGGCCATAATCCGATTACGACGCCTTAGCAAGGCTTCGTAATCGGATTATGACTGGTTCAAGCGCACCCCAGACAGGCAAGATGGCAGCGCCCTGAAGCCGGACTTGCAAACGTGTATAGGTGGAGAGTCGACGGAAAATGTTCTCTCTTCCTGAAAAAAAAAAAAGACGAAACAAAAGGGAGCGCATTTGGGTTTCTGGATTTTACCGTGGGTGCATTGTTTGGCTCCACCTGAGAGAACCCCTGTGCACACCCTCTTTGACCTCCTTTCCCCTTTACAGCACCCACATTCTTTTGTAATTTGACACTCTTTCTGGAATAAAGGAGGCTATAATTTGGTACGACAAACCACAATTTGTTGAAAGAGGGATTATTGTGTCATTGCACAAGTTGCAAGTGAAATGCTTGTCTTCTGGCTTATTTACTGTAAAGGCAAGTGACTATTACTTTGGTGCGAAATTTTAACCGAAGTGTGGAAAATAGGGACCGATGAGAGATGGTCAAAGCAGTTCCTGCTGTATTTTGACGGTCTTAGCAGAGGTGCTTACAATGGAGCGCATGTGTCTTTCTCGTAGGGTCTTGAAGGCATTCCTGATGAGTCCCAGCAGCAATGAAGCCACCTTAACGAGCGACGATGCTGGTCTTGGCACCAGATTTTAAACTTAGCAGAGTCAGTTCAGTCATCAATAAACATGCCGGTTTATGTTTTTTGTTGTGCTGTCAGTGGTTGCAGGTTTAGACTTGTGAACTATCTTGCAGCAGCCATTGCAGAAGATTTGCCCTGGGGATGTGGAACAAGGGACTTTTTTTTTAATATAAATGTTAGATAAATGTTTTGTACGCAAACATTGTGTAACTTCTTCCCTCGTAAAAGGCATCATGTATGACTGTTTTCAATATTTTTTTCGGATCACGATCATGGGGCTTTATTATTTTCCTCTCTGCGATCTAGAGGGTGAAAAAGCTGGTAACTATTTCCCACAGCTGGAATCCTCCAGAATTATTTTATGAAAAATTCCAAGTTATATTAAACAATAAAAAGCTGTAATAAAAAAAGTTGAATGCATTATTATGGCAAAGGCAGTAGTAACACAGAATGTATTTCGTGTTTCTTCGCGGTGATGTCGCACATATCAACTTGGTACTCGTTTTGTACGTCGGCGGCGTGAACATCGTAGTGCACAGCGTCTCTGAAAGAAAGCCCTGCCAAAGCTAGCGCTCGTAGTGCGTCTCTTGCGGTAATACACCCCAGCTTTGACTCGGCTGTTTCCCGCTTGCCCGTTTCGTGCCGCCGCTTACAAAGCACGTGCTTGTCCTCTTCGCCTCCTGCACACACGTCATACGCGTGAGCGCGCTCGCTGGACCTCCTATACACGAACTCAACTCTCCTACGTCACGCCGCGGTGGTGGCGCGTCGGTCGCACTTCCGGTCTGGGGCGGTGGGCAGAAGTCGCCATGCGAGACATGCATTCTTGTGTTCTTTTCGGATAAACCAGACAAAAAACCTGCGTTCTCGTCAAAATGCTGCGACGGGGACTGCACCAAAAGACTCTGGAAAAGTTTGAAGATCAGTTTTCATGTGTTTCTTACCGCTCCGTTCGTCCGAGTACGTGGATAGTAGCCGTGAAAAGGGTTAACTAGACGCTGTCGAACTACGATTGCTTGCGCGGGCAACACTTTGTGGTCGGCAGATGTATTTGTTTTGTTCCAACATGAACGAGAGAAAACTGCCAAGTTGTCCGGGCCACCCGGGGGTTCAGTGCGTCTTCAAATTCACACGGCCGCATGATCGTTCGATCTTTCGTCTGCTCTTTCGAGCCTGCTTTTTGTCGTCTGCTCGTTCAAACAAAAGCGGCCTGTAGACCAAAGTTTGACCCGGTGATTGCAATAAGAAGTAATTGCAGGCCTCAAAAGACTTATATAGGCTCGGTGTAAGGAGTATATACAAGATGTTGATCATTGGTACCGGTGGCCATCACCAACTAGTTACGCTTGGTCTGTTCCCCCTTCCGAATTTCAGTATAGACGTCGATCATCGGCGCTACCTTCTACACTTTTGCAGCACGAGCGACGTCGCGACCGAAAATATCTAGAAGAATCTCATCATGGTTTTGGCGTCCATTCTGCACTGTTCACACGAATAAATCGCCGCACGTCAAATCATTTACGCAAAATTTAGTGGTGTAACGAGCCTTGATAATTTCGCTCAGGCAATTAAAGTGGTAAGACATTGCTATGGGGACGTAGAATAGACAATTCTAACGCGAAAAACAGTATGCAGACTCACACAGACGCCGACAACGTGACATTCCAATGGTTTGTTGACGCGGGACGCGGTGCTTCTTGCCCGCACTCAATTGCGCAAGCGTTCGAACTGTCGTCTGCTCTTTCAAACTTGTCTACTTTTTGTCGTCAGCTCGTTCAAACAACAGCGGCCCGTCAACCAAACGTTGACCCGGTAATTGCGATTAGAAGTAAGTGCAGGCCTCAAAACACTCTTGAAGATTGGTTTGGGTGAGAAGTGTAAACAGTAGATACAAGAAGATGATGATCATTGTTACCACTGGCCATCACCGATTAATATTGCCCGATTCTACTTGCGGTTTTCAGTATCGACGTCCACCATCTCAGCTACGGTCCAGGCTTTTGCAGCCCGAGCGACGTCACGACTGAAAATAGCGAGCAGAATCTCATCGTGCGAGTCAGGCAGGCTTTAGCGCCCATTCTGCGGCGTCCACGTGAAATGAATCGCCGCAAGTAGCATTATTCACGCAAAGTTTTGCCTCGTTAATTTTGCTAAAGCCGCTCAAGTAGTCAGACACTGTTAGGAGGACGTAGAATCAACAATTCCAACTCGAAAAAGAGCACTGGGACTCCCTCCGACGCCGAAAACAGCGCGATTCAATGGTTTGTTTATGGACGACGCGGCGGGCTTCTTGCCCACCGTCCACCGCGCATGCGCGGCGCCGGTGGCGTCCGGTAGGGGCGCTCCGGTTTGTTTGTAAACATGAGTTGGTGTATATACGTATTCGCCTCAAGAACAGTAGTAAAAAAAAAAAGTCCGGCTTTTCGCGAACGTTACCGATTTCCCCTTCCTTCCTGTGTTGAATTAAGATATATATATAGGCACATCTTAGATTAACTTTGCGTTATTTTATCAAGACGTACACGTTTCAAAAGCCGAAATCATCGCTTTTTTTTTTTCTTTTTTTTGACAACCAAATCTTGTGAGAACTTTTTCGCGCAGCGCATGAATAATGGGCAAAACGTCACCCACCGGACGCCACCGCAGGACGCAGATTGGACACGAGTGCTGTGTTGTTTGGCTGAAGCTCGTGTCCAATCAGGAAGGATACGAGTTTCATCCGAACGCTGACGCAGCACTCGTGTCCAATAAATTTTTGTGTGACGCAGAGCGTCACACGAAAGTACGGTAGAGGAAAATTTTAGGTGCAAGCCATAAGATATAACCGGGGCCGTAAAAATCGGCACCTGCACGTATCACTCTAAACCTTTCGTGAAAGGTGTATTTCACAGGTGGGTTTTATCATGCAAAATTGCAAAGCGTAGCTCCCTTTTTGTAAAAAAATGGGGTTCAAAACTTGTCAGGGTCAACGGCGACGCAGACGACCGAGTCGAGTGGCGGGGCGCGTTTGGCGTACGTATTGATACGTTGCGTCGGGAGCAAAGTCGGAAGGTGTAGCCGATCAGCGAAAGGAAGCAGACGACACGCTAAAGATTTCCGTGTGCAGCAATAGAGAGTTCTAGTAGATCGTTCAGATGACTCCTATAACGATACCCGACCCAGGGTGTAAGATAGACAGGTGGGGAAACGGCCCATAGAAACCTACCGCAGCGCCGTGACCCGATTGTGTAATCGTCTGCTTGCGGGTGGCTTGCAGGTACCCCCGATTTGCGACAGATGGCGCTGCGGCGAGAAGAAAAAAAATTGGAATCGAATTTGGATGGAACTTTATGGGAGAGTGCGCAAAATAAACTGAGAGCACGACAGTCCTCCATTAAAAATCCACGAGAAACCTTCTCCGTCAGTTTAACCGGTCGCCAGCGTTCGCCCACCCGGAGTGAAAGTTCGCGGTCCTCCACATAGATGGCGCCACAGAAAAAGAGAAAACCGAGGGGGACACAATCCGGTCGCTCATTTGGCTCTCGTTTCACCACCTGTCTATCTTGCACCCTGACCCGACCCAATAAAACTATCAATAGCGCTGCTCGCGCCGTCCCTATGTCAACCGCGTTTTTTTTTTTTTTTTTTTTTTTTTTTTTTTACTTTAAGTTTTGCTATTATTGTCCGTGTTTATTTTTAAACCACAGGTACCTTACAAAAAGATTATGTTCATTTTATTACACCACGATCGTCGAGAGCAGTCTCAATAAGGAGGTAGCGCCATCTATCAATACATAATATACGCCAACCGCGCCTCGCCACACGACTCGTCTGCGTCCCCGTCCGCCGTTTACTCTGGCAAGTTTTTCGGCCCTATTTTTTACAGAAAGAGAACTACGCTTTGTAATTTTACAAGATAAAACCGACCCGCGAAATACACGATTAACAAAAAGTTTAGATTGCTACGCGCGGGCGCCGATTTTACAGCCCATTACAGTTACATTAATGCGTTACATTAATGCGGTCTGCTCAGGTGAGTTGCTATAGTCCCGGTTGCTGAACGCCTTGACCAAAATAGCAAGGAGCATGACCCCTCGCACTTAGGGTGCGTGGGGTAGTGAACACATACAGGTCCGTGTGAGCGGTTCGCCGCGAGCGGGTTGGTGAAAGCTGCTTGCATTTTGCTGGTGCTTCCGGGGCTCCAGTGAGGAAGATCGAAGTCAGTTGCCCCACGTGCGCTAATCAGAAAGCGGTGTCCGTGTTTTTGGTCATGGGAGGCTAGCATAGGGGGCTAATCGTCGGGATAAGTGGAAGACAAAACTGAAATTAGTTTATTTATCTTTATAATTCGCACTTCCCACGTGCTTTAAGTCTTTGTAAATTTGACTAATTTTGTGGTTTTCAATGCTGCTCAGCAAGTTTCTAGAGGGAAAAGGTTTGTGTTTATTTTCTCAAATGAAAAAGTTAAAGTGACACTGACAGGGTAGGGTATTCATGCTCGCCAAGGCTTTTATTTTTACATGATATATGAGAGCTCAACTACCCAGAACACAATTCGCAGCTCAAAATTCGTTTCAGTGGTCACGTGCCGTTTTCTATATGGTTTAGAAGCAACCACCAAACGTAATCAAAGTCGGATCATCGAAGGGGGACACACTCAACATTAACAATAAAAGCAAAAAATAGGATACCAATTCCTTGTGGCTTCTAAAAAAACTGCAAATACGTTAATTGAAAAAAAAAAAAAAAAAAAGTTGCGCAGCCACGAGATTTTTGGCAACTTTTCTTCATTTTTATATTCTTCCTCCCTAGTCCAGTTTCGGTTTCGAGCAGTTGCGTATTTTACTTTATTAAAAATATACGTGACACTGTAGGAAAATATTGATTGCTAGTCTTCTGACACCATAATAAATCGCCTGGCAAAAAATGCAAAAAAAAAAAGTGTCTGTGTCCCTTTAAAATGAACAAACTCTAAATATTTGTTTCACTGATCGTAGCGATTAACTCCCTAAACGAAGTCCCCCTGGCCGTTAAACTCGCATGTCACAATAAAAAGAAGTAAAGGACAGCAGAAGTCA